TACATAGAGTCATCGAATTTTGAATAACGTAATCCTCCAACGAATATGAGCATGTGGAAGACCAAATTTGAAATTTGAAATTTGTTTTATGATCGATTTCCTATTTTTTAAAACTTTGACGAATTTTTGATTAACAAACTCAAGGATTACAAAGCGAGCAATGGCAACGTTGTGCAGAAAAACGCATTTTTATCTCCAGCGCGTGAGTCTCTGTATCGGAAATTCTAAAGATATGCTCGTTTTAAAACTATTTTGCGATATTGCTGTTGCACTGGATCTTATGGTTTAAGTGCGAGGAACATGATATTTAATAAAGAAAGGTAACACACAAAATGTTAAAAAACGCCCCTTTGGACGTAATTTAAAATCTGAAACATTTCGGATTTTTTTTTTTTTTTTTTTTTTTTTTTTTTTTTTTTTTTAAAGCCCAAAAGGACTATCAGCTTCGATTTGGCATTTTGCGTCGAAAACATGAAAAGTCTGTATCATTTTTCAAAGTGTTGCCACAAAATATTATCGTGCTGTATTATATTTAAAGAATTAAATAATGAAATATCTGCATAAATATATGTGTGTTTCTAGCATTGTGGTAAAACAACGGTACATAGAGCCTTCAACTTTTGAATAACGTACTTCTCCATTCGAATATGGGCATCTGGAAGCCCAAATTTGGAATTTGTTTGATTATCTGTTTCATATTTTTTAAAGCATTTATGAGTTTTTGATTAAGAAGCGCAATGATTTCAAAGCGGGCAATGGCAACACTGTACGAAAAAAAACATTTTTATCTCCTGCGCGCGAGACTGTGTATTGAAAATTCTAAATATGTGCTCGTTTAAATATTTTGTGATATTTCTGTTGAATCTAATTTTATGGTTTAAGTGCAAAGCACATGATATTTAATAAATAAAGGTAACACACAAAACGTTAAAAAAACGCCCCTTTGGCCGTAATTTAAAATCTGAAACCTTTCAGATTTTTATTTATATATTTTTTAATTTTGAACTAATGGTTTGGTATCGATAATTCTTCCTGTTAAATAACTCGCCGGTTCCAGATACTGAATGATGATGAGAAAGTAAAGCCAACATTATTTAGCATTATTTTTATCGTACTCTTATAAGGCACCGGAACTCATAAAATAAAATTAAAAGCCACCATTAGAAGCCCACTTACAATGCAGTATTCCCACATTATACTGATTTACATAAAAGCACATCTAGGTCTTCTGAAAATGACCCTGAAATTTACCCTCTAAATCTGCCTCGTCCTATCAAACTAACCTCTTTATAACTTATGAAAGTAAGCGAGGAGCTGAAAGCTACCTCCTCCTTGTAAATAAAGAGCTAAGTAAATTAACGAGAAAAGTAATCAATGCTTAGAGACATTATTAAAAATTATCGCTCTACTTTCAAAAGCAGTTACCGTAAAATTTATACGTCGCCATTTTTATGTCTTCTAATGTTGGTTCCTACCGTACAGCCATGTCTGGAGCTGCTCATTACTTGTAATGTACCACGTGGTTGCTTTCATTAGATTTTCTCGCTAAATATGCTGTTGCCACAGATTAGGAAATAAGTTCACCCTTTGGTTCTTGATGACTTTGTGCTTGGGAAAAGGTAAAGTATCGCTTCGGTTTAATGTTTTTCAATGATGGTAGGAAGACCATTTGTTACGAGGTAGATGGCTTCGCTTCAGTTCAAAAAGCTGAATATTATATTGAGTAACTAGCAATTAATTTGGTTAACTTCCCAAGCTTCTGAGATAAAAGTTTTCTTAATATGCTGCTATCATAATTTTTCGGTTTTTAAGTTTTTAAAATTTTGTAAAGGTATATTTTATGTAGTTATTATAAATTATTGCTTATTGTATTGTATTAAAAGTAGACAATGGAGTTTTATTTCTTTTTTGGGGGGAGTTATTTTCATTTCTGCTTTGTCGACTAAAAATTGATCTGATCATTAAAAGCTAAAAGCTGTATTGCTAACGAAATTAAAAATGGCTCTGAAAATTCTGTTCCTTAGCGTCACTATTTCATTAGCTGTGTGACGATTGACATTTGATCTCATATTTATACGTTATAAGTAGCTAAAATTGTGCTTCCAAAGTTAAAAAGCATCTTAATAATGAAACTGGAAATGGCTTTGAAAATTATGTTGCTTATCGTCAGTACTTCACTAGTTGTATGACAATTGACAGTTGATCTTATATGCATATATTTTAAGTAGTTACAATTTTGCTTCTAAAAACTTTAAAAAAGCAAAATTGTAAGGTAAGCACTATTTTACTAAGCTTAAATATTGTAAAATTACAGACAATAACATAAGCAAACTGAACTTTACAGGACACAATTTTTTTTACAATAATATCCCAAGCTAAATAAATCAAATTTAAATCTAAGTTACAATAGGGTCTTGTTTCATATTTAACTAACCATAATGAATATCCAATCAAAGTATTCTTGCTGCGGTAAGATAGCTTCCCCGCAAAGCGAGTTTAGGGTTGTCAGAAAGTTTCAGGGAAAGGCAGGGTTGTCATATTGGCGCGAAATTGCTCATTCGGGGACAAAATTGGCCATATGCCATATGCCATAGACGGAGCGAGAATATTCTAGAACGCATTCTTTTAAGAACGATCGACCAGGTCGGGTGCTGTAATTTAGCACTTTGCCATGAAGCTGTTTTCATCGTTATAGCATGACGGCTGTGTTGCTGATTGTTTCAGCGTGTTTGTCGAAGTTTTTCGTCGACAGTAAAACTGTCTTTAGAACTGTCCTGCGTAATACTGGAGAATAAATTGTGTTTTGATTCTTCATTAAGTGTTATCCTCAAATAGTGTGAAATTCAAGAACCTGTAGAATGCAACAGTATGACGGTAAAATGCTAAAAATTGACCAGTAACCGATGAAGAAACAATACATATTTCCCATTATAACGGTAAAATGCTGAAAGTCGACCGTTAACAGATGAAGAAACGATAGATATTTCCCATTATGACGGTAAAATGCTGAAACTTGTCCATTAACAGATGAAGAAACAATAAATATTTCCCATTATTACTGTAAAATGCTAAAATTCGACCATTAATAGATGAAGAAACAATAAATATTTCCCATTATAACAGTAAAATGCTGAAAACGTGACCGTTAACAGATGAAGAAACAATAAATATTTTCCCTTATGACGGTAAAATGATAAAAAAATTGACCATTAACAGATGAAGAAACAGGGCACATTTCACATTATATCTTTGCAATCAAACTCAATTTTGTGTTCTAAATTCCACGAACCTGTAGAGCGCAACAGTATGACGGTAAAATGCTAAAACGTGACGACTAACAGATGAAGAAACAATAAGCATTTCCCATTATAACAGTAAAATGCTGAAAACGTGACCGTTAACAGATGAAGAAACAATAAATATTTCCCCTTATGACGGTAAAATGATAAAAATTGACCATTAACAGATGAAGAAACAGCACATTTCACATTATATCTTTGCAATCAAACTCAATTTTGTGTTCTAAAAAAAGAAACAGTAATATTAAAAAATATGAAAGGGCTCAGATTTTAACAATCGCAACCCAAAAGGATTTTTTAAGGTTTTTTACGCTCTCCTTGAGGTTGCAGTCTACCAGTCTGCTACTGGACTCACTAACTGCTAACTCATTTCCTTTTGCATCTTTAGATTTATTATTAAGCATCCCTTTCATCGTAATTACGCTGTATATAATTCAAAAGCAAAATTACAAAAATTTTAAAAGCAGCTTAACAAATATGTTTATAATATCCGATGCAGTGTTAAATAATGCTTTAACTTTCTTCTATTTTGTTTTCAGTCTTTTCTCAGTTTATAAACTTAACTGAGTTTATAAACTGAGAAAAGCTTTACTGTTGCAAGAATTGGGATATTTTATTTATTTTAAAAGCAATTTCTTCCAACGTTTTACAGCTGACTACATAATATAGCTGCTTTGGAAACTAGTAACCAGAAAGTTTGTGTTGCCCCAAATATTTTTGTAATTTAATCCTCTTCGTGACAAAATATTTCGCCATGTTTCCACCTTGCGCGCATGATATTTTAAAAATGGCTAATGGTACATACTTGAAATTGGATGGATTTCTTTATTTGGGCACTATTTTCTACCTGAACCAAAAATCTGATGAATATTTTAATATTAAAAAATTTTATGGACGAAAACATTACAGATTTTTTTAATAAAATATATTTTATTAAAACTCAACTCCAAATAAAATAAAAATTTAACATGAAAGTTTTAGAATTTTAGGTTCACAGTAGTTTCCAAATATTATAAAAGCTATATATTAAATATGGAATTAAATTATGCAACTCAATGTTTTAAACTGTGCGCGCAAGGTGGAAACATGACGAAACATTTTGTCACTAAGCGGATTAAATTATAAAAATATTTGTGGCAACACAAACTTTCTGATTACTATTTCAGAAAGCAGCTATATTATGTAGTCAGCTGTAAAAAGTTGGAAGTAATTGCTTTCAAAATAGATAAGCTATCCCAGTTCTTGCAACAGTCACATATTCGAAGATCTTACGAGGCCCTTAAAAAATAAATCAGGAATTTTTTTGGACTGAACCTAAATTTCGAACTTTGAAAGAAGCAATTAAGTAAGTTTAATAAAAGTAAAGAGGTATTAGTAAATATATACCAAATTCAAATATCATTGAAGATCTAAAATCCCGACTGCTAATTTTTTAAAAACTACTCGTACGGTTTTTCCAAAATCTGGCACTTTGACATAATTTGAACCTTAGAATGGAAATATCGAAAACAATCGGTATTATTATAAAAAAAATCCGACTTTGTGTTAAAATATCTGTGTTACAGTAGTGCTATATATATATAATATTTACAGAATTTTTAAGCAAAGTTGTTTCTAATCGGATCGTAGTTTTTTATTTGTGCATTTGATTTTGCAATCTAAGATGCTGTCTTTTTCTTTCTTTTCATTGTTCCCGACTAGAGGATCGGCTATTGGACATCCCGTGTAGAGTCTGCGGAGACAGAAGTTCAGGCAAACATTACGGAATCTACAGTTGCGACGGTGAGTTTCCTCAAAATGTTTTCTCTCTGAAACTGCTTCAAAAGGTATTGCTGAAATTAAAATGAAATGCAATTGATACTCTTAATTTACCCATCAGTATTAACGTAATATTTCTTTATTTTATCACAATTAGTATTACTAGGACAGTAATTGTTTTTGTAAGGGTATTAATGTACGGGCAATCGAGAAGTATTGGCAAGACGTTCGTAGCCAGGGATTCCCATTAATAACTTCCTGAAGCATTTTGTGGTCCAGAACTTAGATTAAAATATATCAAGGACAATATTATTGCAACTTCGCATAAGACGTAACATATTGTTAATCTCCATACATAATAAAAGAAAGAGCATGTGAGCCCGCCTGCGGCCGAGCGATAAAAACGCTGAACACTGGTAGTTCGGTCCGAGGTTCGAATCCCGCGAACAGGCTGGCTGCATGGGTGTTTTCGTGGTTTTCCCCATGTGTAACGTGTATACGAGCCAATTTTCCTTGAGAAAACCCTCCACGAAGGCATCCCTCCCTTTAGGCAGATAGCCCTCGTGTGCTTTGCCTTAATTAAATAATCCAATCCATCCAAAGAGTATGTGGGCTATTCGTTTGTGCTGCGCGTAAGCTAATAGACGCAGGGCTACGAAATTTGGTATATAGATGGATTGGATTGGATTATTCAGTTATGGCAAAGCACACGAGGGCTATCTGCCTAAAGGGAGTGATGCCTTCGTGGAGGACTTTCTAAGGGAAACTGGCTATACACGTTACACACGGGGAAAACCACGGAAACACAGTTAATCAGTTTTTAAATCAGTTATAGTTATAAGGCATTTCCTCCCTCCTTTCTGCATGCCTTCGTTGCGCAACGGTAGCACACTCGAAGCGTAATCGAGAGGTCTAGGTTCGGATTGTCCTAATTTCCTAAAATCCTAATGTGTGTGTGTGATTATGGCAAAGCCTCGAGGGCTATCTGCCTAAAGGAAGGGATGCCTTCGGGGAGGACTTTTTAAGGGAAACTGGCTCGTATACACGTTACACACGGGGAAAACCACGGAAACACCCATGCAGCCAGCCCGTTCGTGGGATTCGAACCTCGGACCGAACTACCAGTGTTCAGCGTCTTTACCGCTCGGCCGCTGGTGAGCTTGGTATATAGATGAATCTAGACAAGAGCCAGTGCCCCTCTAAGCAATTTTTTAAAAAATTTGAATCGGATTTTTTTAAAAATCTTTTTGAATGAAATCACATCATTTTGAACACTTTCGTTCTTTTAGAAATGTAGTTTGAGAATGCGGATTAGAAATGTGGTTCTTTTAGAAATGTGGTTAGTTTTTTATTCATTGCTTTGGACACTTGACTGCTGACTATTTTCTCTTGAAAATATGAGATTCATTTTTTATTTCATTGTAATTTTCTTATATTATGTTTTAATTATATGTGATTTTAATTGTACAAAAAGTTTCACATGATTTTTTTTTTAGGAAACAAGGGTTTTAACTTCCTTTATCCCGTTTGAATTCCTAAGATTTTGCAACCGTAATGTGGTTAATTTATTTATTAGGGTAATTAATATTTGCATTAAGGAATATTCCTTATTTCATTGTAATTTTTTTAATATGTGATACATTTTTATTGATTTTTTTTTTTTTTTTTTTTTTTTTTGTATAGTTGTTCTGCAGAGTAAAATTCTGAACAAGTTTTAAATTTAATGTTCGGTAATCCCTTTAGGCATTTTTTGGTACATTTCAAAACCAGACGAAGCGGCTAGTTTTGAATAAAATTTTAATGAATTGAATTACCGCCAAGCTGGCGCCAAGCAGTTTTGATCGTAAAATTTGGGGATAATTTTCAAAAATCACCAAACTTGGCAACCATTTGTGAACATTTTGCTCCGGTCCCTGTATAATTGTAACCGATACTGTAATTGAACAACTGTAATTTATCCTTATTCATAACTGTAACTGTGTTATTCTTAACTGTTTAATATTTTATATTAAAATTATAAAGGTAGGATATAATATAATAATATAATTTTAATATAATTATATTTTATTTTTAATATAATTTTAACCTTATCTGCCTTCTAGTAATTTCAAGAAATGGAAGGTTCTAGAGATTTCTTGGAGGCTATATAAGCCCCGGAGAGAGGATCAGTTCTCAGTTTTTACTTCAGAGCTGATTTCGGTGTAGTGAGAGATCTTTGTGAGAGCTTCGAATTTTAGATGCACTTCGCATTGCGTTGTGTTTAACATTCTTAGTAGTTTGAAGTATAACAAATGATTGTCATATTGAGAAGAGCTCTACGTGTACTTCCGTAGAAAGTTCCAGAACTATAGTGTGTTTCTTTTGGGTAAATACATTAAGCTCTCGTTGGTTCTGTGTGCATTCAATCCATTAACCATATCGTTGGCTCGCTCGTATCATCCAATCTCATCGGTTTTATGTGCATTCAATCCCGCGAGCACTCAACAGTATCAGTTGGAGACATATATCCAATTTACAGCATTATGTTGAGCTTATTTTTGTGGAAGTTTTTGCATTGCTAGGGAATTTAAAAAGATTTATTTCATAAATATTGTTTTGGTACTAATTAAAGCTTCCTCTGCTCTGCCAGTTATGTGCACAAGTTAAATAAATTAATTTGTACTCGGTAAAAGAGCAGAATTGGAAATGCCAACTACCACCGTTGGCGCACCAATCGGCGCGCCATGATGATAAATACTTTCTCGGGCGAGCTATTTTTCACCAAAGTTAAGTACAGCTCTAGAAGGAGAATTTTCCACCCGCAAGTATTATTAGCGTAAACGCTTTTTGGCGCCTAGAACCCCCTCCTGCAGCCAATCACGAGGAGCTAACGCCGGAGAGGGCGAATGGATACTGGGGAGGGGTGGCCGGATCGAGGGGGTGGAGGAGAAGAATTATTCAGATTAATTTTTCCCCGGTGCCTCTTTTCATGTGACGGTAATTAGAAATCCAGATGTTGGAAAGTTGTTCGTTTTGGGATTGAAGGGGAAAAGAAAGGGGGATGTCCACAAATTACCGAACGATATTTGCTGTTCGAATTTCATTCAATTTTTTAAGCAATATGAATGCACATACATAGCTGAAATTTCTTTGACGAAAAATGTACAGGACCTAATCGAGTCTGTTTTTACGAGTTCGATTCCTTACTCTAAATAAATACATAATTTCTTAATTCTACGCAGTCTCTCTCCCTCCTTCAAACCCCTAGTGTAATGCTTTCGAATAGGGAAGTAAGAACCTGACTTTAAATGCTCTTCTGATTTGTTATAGTTCGTTACTTCATAAAGGCACTTCAACGTTGTAGCTGGCTTTCTTTTGTTTATGATCGTAACGTGCGTCGTTAACAATGAGCAGAGGGAAACGGGAATTTTGGCAAATTAGGGGATTCGACATGCATTCCGCTGCTGTCGTTACCATGGTTATGAGGCATGGCTTCGGAAAAAAAGCCTCTGAGTGCCTATTCTAAATTAACAGCCTAGAACCCTAGAGCCTAAGTAACTATGTTTTGAGTCACGGTTTGGGGAAAAAGGCCTTGAAGTGCCTATTCTAAATTAGCAGCCTAGAGCCTTGGAGCGTAAGTAACTGCGTTTTCATGAACGAGATCTTTTGAAAAATAATTTAGTTCGTGATATTCTGATTTCCTTTCCGGCAGATCTCGAGAATCCCAAAGTACTAAAAAGACTAATTTGTTAACGAAAATGCACATTTTAACGAGAGAGGGAAGCAGAATGAGGCAGAAGAAAATCCAAATAAAACGAAAGGGACAAAAATGTTAGATTATTAGATAGGTTAACGTCGTTTGTTATTCAGTTTTTTAACTATGTATAAATAATAATACAACTAGTATTTACAAGCCCCCTTCTTTATGTTTACTTGTTTTTTTTATTCCAGTACAAGTACAATTTTATTCCAATACAATATAATGAAACTTTGACTTATCACAGTGTTTCTTTATCTCAAAATTAGAGTCTCGTCTTATTTATTTCTGTCAAACGCGTTGTAGATAATCTAAAATATAAATAGGTGTTGATAAAATAAATTTATTTTTGGGTATTAAATTGCTTAACATCAAAACGATGATATGAAATCTTGTTGTTTAGAGCTGCATAAATGATTTGTTGTTTAGTTTTTCTTAAATGGGAAAATTTTAAGTAAATTTAATTCGTATTCTCATGTAAAAAACTTTCCGAAAAATTATCGATCAATCATTAGAGGATCAATGCCCACCAGCGGCCGAGCGCTAAAATCGCTGAACACTGGTAGTTCGCCCCGACGTTCGACTCCCACGAAACGGGCTGGCTGCATGGGCGTTTTCGTAGTTTTTCCCGTGTGCCAATGTGTATATGAGCCAGTTTTCTGTTAGAAAGTCCTCCACGAACGCATCCCTTTCCTCTGGCAGATAGCTTTCGAGGTTTTGCCGTAATCAAACAAACCCAAACTAACTAGGAAAAACTGGTGGGAAAGAAGAAAAAATACATTATCCCGGCCGCTATGCTACATATTTAAATTTAGCTGTTATTTTATGTAACTTCTGTGACATTTTGTGATTTTATAAAAATGTAATTAAAACTTTAAAGACTTTTTAATTTTAAAATATTTTGTTTCATACTTAATTATGTGCATTCCCCGGTTTTTGGAAAAATAAAACTTTTAATTAAAACTTGATAGTTTATTTTCTTAAGACAAAGTGTGAACCTTTGTCAAAATCCGCCGAATCAACCAAATCCCCGTTAACAGAGTGCCTATTGATGAACAGATTCAGAATATTCGGGGCCCACCAGCGGCCGAGCGGTAAAGACGCTGAACACTGGTAGTTCGGTCCGAGGTTCGAATCCAGCGAACGGACTGGATGTATGGGCGTTTTCATGGTTTTCCCCATGTGTAACGTGTATACGAGCCAGTTTTCCTTAGAAAGTCCTCCACGAAGGCATCCTTCCTTTAGGCAGATAGCCCTCGTGTGCTTTGCCATAATTAAATAATCCATT